ATCCAACCCTATCTTCACCTTTTATTTTATATCATGTAAGAACCCTGTGTAGCAAGACAAAACATGGGGAAATTGATGTTATATTAAAATAGACAATATAAAATAGTTCCTAGGAGCTATATTACCCTAAAGAATGAGGAAATCTAGCACTTAAGAAACCACATGGTTTTAATAAACTCTAGAAGTGGAAGAGCGTGTATCTGCATCGTGTGAGAAGCTTTGATTAAAAAACAGTAAGATTTTCCAGCCAATGAACTATGAAAGCTCAAGGCAAAATCCCAAAGGATTAATCTAAATGATGAAATAAAAGGAAAAATAATCATGAAACTTACATTTCAAATCTGGGATGCCTAAACAAAACTGCAAAGCACAGCTCATCGAAATCCAGCAAGCGACTCCAGTGACCACGTGAAGTCAAATTACCGTGATAAGACTAGGCACGAGTCCAATCCCCACCTCTCCCTGACCTCGTGTAATGTGTATAGCAAATCCTGAGAAATCCCCCACCCCCACGGACAAACTATAAAAATCCTCCACATTCTCCCACCTTGGCCAGGGGTGGGGGGGGGGGGGGTCAGATTTCAATTGATAAGTGCATTATGGCTACTGGAATGAGCATGACTGGCCCCAGCATGTGTGAAATGAACACTACCTACAATCACTCCTTTTAGTCCAATACTTTTAATATACTTGTTTTCATCTGCAGCATGTTTTTTTTTTTATTTTTCATTTTCAAAGTACCCATTGCTACAATTATTTTTGATATTCAACTCAAAATTTGTGTGTCCTCTTTTGAGGGGAACTCAGAGACAATTGTATACATATATCTTTTAAAAATTTTGTGATCAACTGTTGTAATTGTAACATTTAAGACAATAATAATGTTTGATGGCAACACATACAGCATGCAATGTTTTGTATGGTAATGAAATATTGAGAAAGTAAATTATTTTTGTTATCTCTGAATATATCTATAATATGATCAGAGATTATTCCTGTAAAACTCTTTGTATTGATATTCAATGCACTACTGTATATTAACGAAAAAATGAAAATAGTAAATTATCTTTGTAGTCCCTGAATATATCTATAATATTATCTATATATATATATATATTACTATAAACTTTTCATTTAGATATTTAATGCACTACTGGTAATTTGCTTCCACTTGAGTCACTCATAATAGTATATATCTATCATGGCTGTGCTCTAAGAAAAATCGAATGGAGCCCAGTGCTCTGAAACTGTGAAATCCAGGGTGCCCAGCATATGCATTTTATGAACAAACTAAGATTCTTGAGTCGCCCAAGAGTAAAAGTAAGGTGCCAGGGTCCGCTGGGCGCCACTAGACCACAGTCCTGATATAAATTAGAGACTGTGGAAATCATTTTGATTATTGAGAATTTAGACAAAATTACTTTTTCTTTCAATACTCCAAACATATGTCCTTTATTTGCTCTGATTTTGGTGGTTGATCTGCAAACATTTGAAAAATTATCACACAGGTGTTCACAATCTACATTTATAATTTGTTTTCCTTGTAACATAGTTTGTTGGGGTTTACTATGAGTATCTAATAAATGGCCATACATTAACTACGTCATCATAACAATAAAATAGTTATATTTTTGTCTGTAGTTTGCAAATTCTAGGAAACTGTTACATTACAGGCCACCTTTAAGCTATTTTATTGCTTCTTTGGCTTCAAGTATGGTTTTCCCTTGAAGAACACAGTCTGAAACTAATTTTTGAAAGTGCTGGGAGCAAAAAATACACTTCTGCACCATCTTCAGGTAGACCACAGTAGCAAAAGTCATGGGTGCAACCCCTCTTAGGTATATGTACATTTGAAGTGAGTTTGTACACAGTTTCATCATGCCCATTTTCTCGTAACCAGAATGATGAAATGTACTTGTGCCTAAAAACCTGATTCCATCTATTGTCAAACTGGGTATTGTCAGTAAATTTGGCAGGAGTAACATGCTTTGCCTCCCTTCCCTTTATTGTATTTATTCCCAAGCCAAACCTAGTGTTTCCTGGAGTTACTGGGCATGAAGTGGCACTACATGGCCAATTGACCAGGATGTAGGGTACTTTTTAGAGAGTTCAGTAGTTCTGAAATAGTTGGACCAAACCTAACTGAGACTTGGAACCTGCTCACTTGACATTGAGGCCCTTCTAAAAGGAGAGACTGAATCTATTAGATTCAAACCTGTGAAGGCAAAAACATGTAACCTGAACGTGTGAACATTCTGAACTTCATCAGTTTTCATACTTTCAACATCATACATGAAATGTGACAAAAAAAGATGTGACTCTTTACATGTAAAGTGATATTCTAGGGTCAGATGAAGGGGTTCTACTTTGGCCCTATCAATAAATTTACCAACCAAAGGTGGAAAATTTTGTCTAGATTTTTTCTGTGATATGAAAGATGTTATTTTCTCATGCTTTGTGGCTGATTTCAGAATTGTTTTACTTACCTCTTCATTCTTCTTTTCAATACTAGCTGCCACTCTAATTCTTTGACTATAGTTCCATGGATGCCATTTGTCTTGTGGTTTTGAACCAAAATTTCCTGAGTATTGGCAATGTCACTTTTGTAAATGTCGGCAAATGGAAAAAAATAAGAGGCTGTTATACTTAGTTCTCCTCCTAGAAAAGCCAAATATTTCATGTCATTTGGTAGCAGTTCAAATTGAAAGGACACAAACTTATCCTTACTGACATAACAGGTAGACTGTTTTTTCAGAGAAATGCATAACAGTTGCTGTTAGCAACAAAAGGTGATCATTTTTTGTCATGTGACTAAAGATGTTACCACAAAAGGCAAATGCACATGATAACATTCCTTTGCATTTCTTTGCCCATACTTTTGCTTTCTGTCATCATTTATCCGTTTTTTTCTAGTAATACAGCATAATCCAGTTTAAAGTGTTCCATAATATTTCTTTTCAGCTAAAATCAAATAGAGTATCACACATCTTAGGCTACCATCTACGCTTTTACTACAGATATAAGACCTTCCTTGTTTGTTTATGGAAAAGCCCCCCATCGTTTCATTTTCAGCAATGTGAAGAAATGCAATCATGTGTGCTTACATTTGAGGCATCAGGGATAGATCACGTGGGCTTAATTCAAATGTTTCTCTCCAGCAGCAACTTTTTTGTGCATCTCCGAAAAAACAGTTTACCCGTTTCAGTACCATCAATTTAACATTTCCCCCTCAATTTCAGTCATTTGCCTTTAAAGCAGTGCCACATATGTGCAAAGAGGCTCACAGTTTTCAGAGCAATTAGCCCAAATTAAGAGAAAGTTCTCTGCAGAGCTACACACACACTGACCACAGTTTAGGAAAACCAAGCCAATACTTGGTCATCTTTTCCAAAGGGTGCACCATCCCATAAATATTTACACTTCTAATAAAATTTATTTGGCTTTTCTCAAAAAATATCAATCTTCTGTTTTACAACTTTAGGAACAACTTTCTTTGTGAACTTACAACATTTTATCATTGCATCACTCAATACTGACAATGGAGCACTTTAATTCAAAACTGCCAAGAGACCTGCATAAGCTGGTGTCATATTCTCAGCAGTGGCTCCATGCAACACTTCTGCAGCATTTAATGTCTGCAAACTCCTTCCTCTAGCCCTACAGCCAGGGCCAGAGATCATCCCATCATCTCCTAAAATTGTTGGAGAGCAGGTTCTTCTGTCCACATGGTTGTCTGTAACAGAGATCTGAGGAAGACAAAAAATTTTGACCCTGTAAATCTTCAGTTTCGTTTGAATGCATAACTTCACAGCCAGAGTATTAAGCATAAATTATTCTATTCATAAACTGTTCACATGGAATAAAAAAGCTTTTTCCAAGAATATAAAATTCAGTGAGTATAACATGAATTGAAGGTACTGACCTTTTCTTTGTTATCCTCATTCACCAATTTCGCCTAAAACACCACAATATTAGCCAACTTTAGCTTAAATCAAAGAAAAACGGGGTATTTTGTGAAAATTTTCAAACGAATTGCTTCTTTTGACGTATTTAGAGGTAAAAGGCACCTAAACTGCATTCCGATTTATATTTTATTTCTCTTAACAACATTTGAAGATGTAGGCGGGCAGGGTCAGGAGATTCAAGTATTTGATATTGAGTGTTGTTTACCTTTAACTCGGGTCGCTTTAATTTTCTTGCATTTTTCGTAAACTCTTTACCAAGAGAAAGGGCAAACATAAGAAGAGCATCTTGGTTCTGTTTAACCTCGAGATATTCAATCAAAGGAAAGCGATTTTTCTGTCCTTTCTTGGCGGCATGTCGCCGCACTTTGTTGCAACGCGTCTTTAACCACATTCTGTTGACAAAGTGAGAGTCGCTCGCTCAGTAAACCTCAAAATGCTCGAAAGTCCAGCCATAGTAGTCGTTAAAAAGTTCAGATATCAAGGAAACGAGACAAAACTCAAAAATTCTGAATCGGGCAAGTCCTTACCAATGATTGCATGAGTCGGTAGCTTTGTCCCTTGCTTCTGGCCTTGACATTTTGATCCTTAAATATTTTAAAGATCCCTCAAAAAATTTGCTTTGTTTCACGGTAGAGACGCCATGACAGTCTCCTCTTTTAAACCAAAGGAGGACCAATAATATTTCTCCTACTCTGCCGTGTTTGGTATGAAACGAAAGCTCTTGATAGGATCGATCTGAATGTTGGTTCCAAATGAAAATTTACCACGCTTTGATTTAACCATAGTTCATAGAGAGCCTGCAAAGTTAACCGATTCCTGGTTTTGCGCCAGACCTCCGCACGGCCAACAATGCGGCGGGAAAATGACTGTGACCAAAAGTGGGACGGGGACGGGGGACGTGGGACGTGGAAGATACAGACGTGGGACGTGGAAGATACAGACGTGGGACTCGAGGACGTGGGACTCGAGGACGTGGGACTCGAGGACGTGGGACTCGGGGACGCCAGGACTCGGGGACGCCGGGACTCGGGGACGCCGGGACTCGGGGACGTGGGACGCGAGGAAATCGGGACTCGGTGATGCATGGGTACTCAAGGACGTGATAAACAAATAACAGATGATTTTTTCGCTGAATCAATTAATCTGTAAAGGCTGGTTTTCACTTGCCACGGAGTGGTAGTCGGAGTTGTAATCAGAAGCGTGGAGCGATACGATCTAATGAAAATCAAACCGACGGAATCGGAAGCAGAACACCGATTCTGCCTATGACTCCATCGCTTACGATCCAGTGAAAACTGCATTGTCCGAGTCGGAAGCGGAAGCGGAAGAATAAACCAATCACAATGCTCGATTCCATCTCTCCAAAATGCACAAATAGCCGTAACAAATTTAAACGTGTGAGCTTGACTGTAAAATTACGAAATTAAAAGTTAAAATACTCGAAACCTACCGAAAGTACAATTCACGATCACCAAGTCGTAGTTCGCTGACGAGGTTAGCATACTCTTCCTAAGCTGGTCGACGTCGATAGATATCATGAACCCAAAATTGCTTTCTTTTTCGAACGATATTATTCCTGCATTGTCTCTGTCTGCGCAAAATAATGATTAATGAGAACCAAAGTTGCTCTTCGTCCGCCATGTTGTCTTTGGCGCCAAAATTTGTACTTTCGCGGGCCTGGAATCGAGCATTGTGATTGGTTTATTCTTCCGCTTCCGCTTCCGACTCCGACAATGCAGTTTTCACTAGATCGTAAGCGACGGAGTCATAAGCGGAATCGGAAGAAAATGGAAACGTTCTGATTCTTCCGACTCCGATTCCGTCGAGCTTATGACTCCGCTTACGACTCCGTTTTTCGATTTTCACTAGGTCATAAGCGCTCTTACGACTCCGTCTAAGACTCCGACTCCGACTTCGTCGCTAATGAAAACCAGCCTTAAAGTTTAATTTTCGGTGGCTTCGACAAAGGTATTATACTACTGAAATAGGTAGACTGCTTTTCCGGAGACGTGGGTAATGTTAGCGACAAAAGTGATCGTTTTTGGGCACGTGACTAAACAACTATGTTAACACAAAAGGCAAACCCACGTGATAACATTCCTTCGCATTTCTTTGCCGGCGCTTTTGTTGTGTGTTGTAGTTTATCCGCTTTCGTTGAATAATACAACATCATCCAGCTAAAAGTATTCTATAATATTTCTTTTCCGGAAAATCATGCAAACTAATTACAACAGACGAAACTGAGATGTCTGCCTTCGATGAACTGATGCAAATCGTAAGGAATAAATGAGAGTGTTTTACAATTTATTCCTGAGGAGGAATTCAGTACAGGGACGATGAGGATACTTTCGTAACGAAGTAATCGCAACTTGCGTCCGTTGTAATTAGTTCGCGTCAATCTTCCAGAAAAGAAAGTAAAATAAATTGTTAACACTATATTTGTTAATTCTTCTTCAAGAAAAAATTGTAAACACTGGAGGTCTACTGGATCCGCAATTCTTCGTCAGGAATAAATTGTTAACACTCTAATTTATTCCTTTCGATTAGCATCAGGTCATAGAATGTGGACACCTCAGTTTCGTTCGTTGTTGCTAACGGCAACTGTTACGCGCGTCTCCGAAAAACTTGTTCACCTGTTTCGGTAGTATTACACCTTTCTCGAGACCACGAAGAATTATACTTTACAAATAAGCGCAAAAATCAGGTGTTTTTTGTTTATCACGTCCCCAAGTCCCCGCGCGTCGCTGAATCCCGACTTCCTCCCGGCCCACGTCCCCGAGTCCCCGGGTCCCACATCCCCGAGTCCCCGGGTCCCACATCCCCGAGTCCCACATCCCCGAGTCCCATGTCTCCCGAGTCCCACGTCCCCGAGTCCCACATCCCTGAGTCCCACGTCCCTGAGTCCCACGTCCCCGTCTCAGTTTTAGTCACAGCCGAAATAAACAGGAAAAAATAAGGCCGAAAAATCCGCCAGAAATCCCCGGCATGATATATAACAAATTTATCGATACAATTTCAAATCTTAAGTTGGGATTGTTCCGTCGACTGAAATGTTGTCTACTTGCTGTCATGCTGGACCAAATGAATTTGACCCGAATACAGAATACAAGGTACTCGGAATTTATTAACAATAAAAAGTTCAAAGTAACTTACAATAATTTGGAATTATCTGTAAATTTAAAGGGAGATGCTAAAACAGCCTCACAAGAATATGTAGATGTAGAAGAAGCTGGATACTAAACATCTCATTATCGTTTTCTTGAGAAAATACGAAACATTTAAGTTGCTTGGTTTGGTGATTCGTGCGTTACGTTTCACGTCGATATAGAATTGGGTATGATTTCCGCTGTTTTCTCTATAAGAGAGATAGGAGAGTGAGCTCAAAAGCCAGTAATAACAGGTTATCCAAGATAGTTTTCACTCACTAAGATCTCGAGATGCAGGATATAGAATCTTAGAGGCCCTTCCTAGGGGCTCGCGTCCTCGGCCCTTGTGGTCGAGGCCTTGCTGCTCCTAATGGTCCCTTTTTCATTCAGAAATGTAGAAATCTCTCGCTCGATAACTCTCTGCATGAGGAGCTATCTCATCCGGAGAACAGATAATGGTCTTGAGGGACTAACTAGTTTTCGAGCTATCGAGACGACATTCACGGACCCTACTTTGTTCTTTTTAGAATGTTACGTTCGAGACTCATTCCATTCTCATCACTGGAATTGACTTGTGAATTAGATACGATTGACAGCTCATCGGGTTCGCTTCATTTCCGCTTTTCTCATTTCATTCGGGAGGAGAGTTTCGTTTAGCATTTGCCAAGTTACATCTTTTCACTCATTGTTTGGAAGATTGTTTGGAGAAAGATGTTTGTCATCTTATCACGAGCGTAGGGCAATTGGGAATCATTGGACCTCGTGATGGCTTTGCTCACCGTTGAGTCTATGCGGCTCACTGGTAGAGTGTTAGAGCGCGNGACGCAGGCACTTCAGTGTTACCCCTCTTGTACCCGGCTAAGAGTTATGCCGCTAAGGTGTTTTCTCCAATAGTATTTTAAACGGAACAGACTTATGTGAGTCCACCCCATCTTCCGCTGACGATCTTCTTTCGAGTAAACTTTACTTTAGCCGTATTCAGCTACAAGAATGATACGCGCTTTGCGTATTTTTCACACACTACACAGCCTGCAGTTAACTAAAATGATACAAAGAGAATGAAACGAGTGATAATTTAGCTCTTTATCATAATGGTGTGGGAAGGTAATCTTACTTACATCTAATCGAGACTCCATGCGCTGAAGATAAGATTGGAATCGCAAACAGTATTGCCCCAAACAGCAAAGTAGAATGTCTGGAAACAGAAGTCATCTTATAAGAAGAGGCTCTCTCTCGCTTTAACGGTTGTAATATGTAACAGTGACAGGCTGAAGAAACACCGGTATTTATATTTAAGGGATCACCCTTACCCTTTCTGCAATTTCTTTGAAAGCTATTTTTTGTTTATCAAGGCTCGAACAGAAACATAAAAAGGAAGTTTTCAGTACCACACACCTACTCGCGTAGGTGATGTGCTGAAGCATATTTTTTCATTGAAAATTCTTAAGCAGGATAAAACATCAATTCCGAGCAAAAGCTATCGCAACCTCATCCCGCACACAGCACTTGGCGTTTGAAACCTAGACCATAATCGAGAAATAGAGCATTGTCGGTAATTTAGAAGATCCTCTCGCGTGAAAAGTCAAGCACACAGGGCTTTAAAAAAAAAACAACAAACAAAGGACAAACTAGCCGCCGTAACGAGTTTTGCAACGCACGAGCGTCATTGCCAATGTGAATAGTATCTAATTTTAGTTGCTAAATATTTACCCAATGGCTCGAAAGACCGTAGTGACGTCATAACTGAAGGGTTAAGTCTCTAACTATAAATTGATTTGATTGCGTAGCGGCAATTGACAGCCAAAAAATGTTATTTCTTCCTAAAAAAAAACAAACAAATTAAAAACAAAACGTCCACGTCTCACTTGCCCACCGAAGCAAAATGATCATTTGCACTAAGATAATCGCCCAGATCATCGCTCCTTTCTTTGTGAACCTTCGGATCTTTTTCACGTATCAACGAACGCTTTTCATTCTACTAATTTATTGAATTAATTTATCTATGTAGTTGGGCTCTATTTCGCCCCTGCATCGAGAAGAGAGAGCGGAGTGTGGGTTCATTTTCCGATCAATATGTAAGTTATGGCTCTTGACATAATTTCATTA